CCTCCCAAGCATGATGTCCTTCTCCAAGGACTGGTCCCTCCTTGCAACATGTCCAAAGTATGTCAGACAAAGCTTCAGAATCCTTGCCTCCAAGTAACCTTGAATCTGAGCCTTCATTAATTTACTGGTAAATAATTCCCTGAGTATGCCATTTGAAAATGGTGGCAAACAGGGATTAAAAAAGAAAGTCACTATCAAAATTAATGCCTGTGTTTGAATACTGCCTTTACAACTCACACCTTATTAATGTGCAAATTATGTGATCATACTTCAGTTTAGTAATCTCTGAGTAACAGAAATAGAGTTCTTAAGATTACAGTAAGTAATCAATATAAATTTTTACCCATTCTATTGCTGTTAAGTTGGTTTCAACTCAGAGCAATCCTGAAGGCAGAGGTACTCCCTAGAGTTTCTGGGGAAACCTTCACAGGAACAGACTGCCTCATCTTTTCCTGTGGGGTGGTTGGTGGTTTCAAACCACTGAACATTTGGTTAGAAGTCTAACACTTGGGCCACAGAGCCACCAGGATTCCATGAATAAATATTTTATTTTTTTACTTCACTCAGCTAAACAATGTTGTTAAGTGTTAACAAAGAGGTTTACCTGACAACTGTGCACATTTGGCTGGATCTAAGGAGTCAGTTTTTAAATAAGATTTTATACATTTCCTTCAAGAATTTATCATAAACTTACCAAAACAGTTGTCTGTGTAAATATTTGTTTAACATGTTTCCCCATTTACCTAACTCCTACCAAATAAGACTACCACCATCAAAGTTGATGTCAACTCATGTGAACCCATGTGCATCAGAGTACAACTGTTTTTCTTAGGGTTGCCATGGGCTGATTTTTCAGGAGATAAGCAGAATTTTATTCAGGAGAACCTGTGTGCAGAGACAACCCTCATTTAGCAGTCAAGTGTATTAATATTTTGAACCGTGGAGATGCATTCAAGCTCTGGGCAAATTCCTCCTGTGTCCAGCACACTGTATGGCTTACGAAATAGAGGTATAAAAATAGTAAACTTGGAAATTCCTCATAAAGTTACACAGAGAATTAACCATAGGGTCCACTTATTTCACTCCCAAGAGTACTGGGTATATACCCTAGAGTACTGAAAATAGGTGTTTAAATGAAAACTTGCAAATAGATGCTTATAGTAACATTATTCATTATGAGTAAAAAAACGGAAACTACTTCAAGGTACATGGACAAATAAACAGTGAAACAGACACATAATGGAATGTGATCCAGCCAAAAAAAAAATTAATGAAGTATGAAAACAGGGATGAAATTAGAACATACTATATATGTTTCTATTTATATGACGTATCCGTATTAGCTAAGCCTCAAAACAAAACACACTGTCATGGAGTTAATTCTCACTTGTAACAAGTCTCTAGAACAAGTGTAGAAAAAAAAAAGTTTACAGCCTTGGAAATATAACAGGGCAGTTCTACTCTTCTGTAAGGTCACCGGGATGGAATCAACTCTGTCACAGTGGGTATGACTAAGGAAGATATAAAATCTTACTTAGATTCACTGTTATTGTTGTGCAACCACTGAGTCAGAACTGACCCAAAGCACCATCCCTTGGGTTTTCAGGGGCAGTTAAAAGAATGGGAGGAGATTGCAGCATGACTTTGAGATTGCAGTTTAGTTTCTTACCAAAAGGTCACCAGAGCTCTTTTAGATTCATTTCTGGTTGTTACCGCCATCGAGTCACTTGCAACTCATAGCGACCCTATGTATTACTCTGAACCCTGCTCTATCCCCTAAGCCAACCTCCTCATCTCCAACAAATCCACCCCCTTCACCTCATCTCATCCAGATTCCGTCTCTCTTGTGCTGTCTCTCCACCCTCTCAAGGATGATGTCCCTCTCCAAGGTCTGGACCTTCCTTGCAACATGCCCAAAATATTTCAAAGAGCTTCAGAATCCTTGCCTCCAAGAAGCAACCTGTTTTCACCCTCTCTAGGATGTATCTCTTTGTTATCCTAGTAGTCCATGGAATGTTAAATATTCGTCGCCAGCACTACGACAGAAAGGCAGCAATTTTTTTCATCATCCTTAGTCCAGCTTTACGATGCATAGCAAATAGATAAGGTGTACCTTAGTCTCCACTCTGAGATAGTTGCTCTTCAGTACACTGTTGAGCTCCCTGACAGCAGACTGTCCCAATGAAATCTGTCTTTTGATTTCCCAGCTGCTGGTGCTAAGACTGTTGACTGTGGTGCTAAGCAAACGGAAACTTAACAACCTCAATCTCTTCACCATCTATCAAGATGCTGCCAATCGGCCCAATGGTGAGAATCTTCATTTTCTTGATACTGAGCTTCAATCCATATTGAAGGCTGCAGTCCTTGACCTTCTACAGCAAATGTCTCAGATTCTCCTCAGTTTTGGCAATCAAGGTTTTAACATCTGCAGAAGGCAGACAATTGATGAGTTTTCTTCCAATCCTGATGCCATATTTCTCCTCATTGATCCCAGCCTCCTGAATGATCTATTCTGCATATAGATTGAAAAGGTATAGAAATAGGACATTTCCCTGTTGTGTATCAATCCCAATTTTGAACCATGCAGTGTTTCCTTATTCTGTTCTAACAACTGTCTTTGGTCCAAGTACGGGTTTCACATAATCACAATCAAGTGTTCTGAGATTCCCATTCTTCTCAGAGATAGCCTCACTTTGTTGTGAACTACACTGTCAAATGCCTTTGGATAGTCAATAAAATACAGACAGGACATTCCTCTGGTACTCTCTGCTTTCTGCCAAGATCCATCTAACATTAGGTGTAATATTCCTAGTACCACAGCCTCTTCTAAATCCAGCCTGCACATCTGACAGTTCTCTGTTGATGTGCTGTTCCAGTAGTATTTAGATAATTTCCAGTAGGATCTTGCTTGTATGCGGTATTAATGATATTGTCTGATAATTTCTCCATTTTGTCAGGACATCATTTTTTGAAATGGGAACAAATATGGGTCTCCTCCAGTAAGTTGGTCAGATGGCTGTCCTCTAGCTTTTTTGACACAAGCTGGGGAGTGAGTCCAGGGCAGGGTGTGAAGGGCAGCATCTATTTATTGAAATATGTTTGGCAAAATTTGATGAGTGCCTGCAGGACAGGGTCTGTTTGCTGAAATACGTCAATTAGTATGCTGTCAATTTCTTGGCCTTTGTTTTTGCCAGTTCCTTCAAAACAGCTTGAGCTTCCTCCTTCATCATCACAGGTTCCTGATCATCTTCTCATTAATTTATTCTGTGTCA